CAGCGGAAACTTGTAAACTATTCGGAAGGCGCTTTTCCAATCCACCTCATGGTCAGTGTCCACAATGTGGGTCAGAAGGATGCTACTAATGGTCCAGGAGCCCCCTTGACGCAGCCAAGAAGAGCTGTGTTCATCCACGGGTTTGGGTAACTGCCGCACCGTTCGACCAATATGCATGGCACTACGGGTGCACTCGACTTGATAAATTACAGCTGAGTTGGTCAGCATCGGCACCTTTTCCTTGCTGTGCGAACGAATGAGTGATTCCGATGAACACACGCACTCCAGCGATACTGCTGAGGAGGTCGAGTTTATCGCGGCCGAAAGGCTTCTGCTTAGACGCTAGGTAGTCACCTTCACTTTGAATGATCAAGAAAGAAATAGCTAATACTGTACTGCTTTTAACGCTGACATTGGTCTGGGTTCTGCTTAGAAGTTTCTTAAAATAAATCTATCGGGATAACCGTTTTCAAGGAAAGGGAATTATGTATGTTCATCAACTCCGCGTCTAGGGTGTTTTCCGTACAGATTCGACTTGCTCTTGAGGCAAGACCGTAAACCAAGTTGCACTTGTATTTCATAGGAAAGAAACTGTGACAGTTCATATACTGACCTATCCACGTTGTCTTTCTGTAGACCTGAGGCTGGATGGTTCCGTCTGGTCTCCTGGTTAACAAGACATCGATATATGGTAGGCGATTATCGCTTTCCTTCTCGTAAGTAAACTGCACTGCTGCGTGCACTCGGTTAAAGTGGTCAAGAATTTCATGCAGAGTAAGCTGTTTGTTTACCACAACAATATATCTTCCAGGTATCGATGATAGCGATCAAAGAGGTCTATCGCCGCCCGCATTTCTGTTCCCCCTAGCTTTGACATAAAGATATTCGATAATGGCGGTCCGAGAGGGATCCACTAGCCACGCCGTCCTGTCGGCAGTATTGCCCGTTGAACAGAAACGGAAGATTCCAGGTGCGGCGTAACAATAGGCCTTTGAGCTCATGCATAGGTATACACAAGTTTATTCCTGACCCGGCTATATAGTCGCAAATGTAATCGGTCGTCTCAACTAATGGGACATTGGCAAAGAGAGACGACATCGAAAGAGAGCATTATTTTCTCAGCGATTTTATCATCCTAATGCTTTCAACGAACTGGAAGTTGTCACGAAGGTTGTAGGTAGCGAGCTTTTGTCACACAGTTTCAAGAACTTCTACAAGCCACTGAGCGACAACATGATACGGTGAGTTGACAATGGATAAAATAAGTTGAAGCAGAATGTTATCTTTGTGGAATTTTGTTAACCCCTAAACTCTTGGAACGCTTGTGCCACTAGGTTTAAGGCGGTCATACACGGCACCTGAAATGTACCGCTTGGCGCGGAGTTCTTGCAAATTGTTAGTTATCCGTGTTTCACCTTGTTTCGTTCTTCTGTCTCCGCTTCCTCAGCAGAGGTTGTTTTAAGCTCAGGAACTCTGTAAACAATAAGCATCCGTTTGTTGGATTTACAAAAGTTGGCACCGTTCATTTCTTCGTTCGGACTTGTTTCCTTGGATGTCAGGAAGTATGCGCACTTCAAGTGACGAGTTGCGGAGCTGAATGCATGGCAGTAGAACTACCTCTGTATTATCAGCAGAAACAAGTGTCACCAGGAGAAGTCGAGGTTCAACGTAATGAATTGGATTTAGGTGACGTGGGACCAGTCTGAGGATCGTCGGCTCAAGCGGAATGCAAATCGCACCGCAAATGGACTTCCACTGGTTACAGTTGTCCATCGGATTACACTTTATAGTACTAGACTGCGATTAAGGAACATTAGTGTACAAGACAATTAAAGCACCGTAATTTCGTCTTCCAAAGGTAAATTCGAAAACAGTAACTGATTCGTTTTTAACAATTTGGTGCACTGTGTAAACTGCTGCAGCGCAATGTTTGGTGCTGATGCTGGAGTCAAGTGAGTTCTGCTCGACGCATGCTAGGGGCAACCGATGCGTGTGATATTCAGCTATTCTAGATGCTGGGCTGGATCTGTGGCAAAGCTGCTATCCTCGCTACAGACTTAATATGGGTCGCACCGCTGAAAAAAGTGGAGGCATTCATGCTCGATGTTTTTTGCTAATGGGAGTGAGGTAAGCTAGAAGATTTAGAGACACAGTCGCTGCAATGCGGCTGGAGCGTTTGGCTTTCCTCTCCGGTCTAGAGGCAAAGCTTGAGTTGGCTGCTTGAAACAAGAGCATGACCACAATCATTTCCGATGTACGATCATAGCATTTACCAAATGCTCGATTGTCTCAGCCAAGATTTTGCACTTTTAATGAGCGTGTATAAAAAGCTGATAAGTCGAAGGACTCAAAATGTTGGACAAAACAAAAATGCTTCTGCTATTTTGCCGTGTTGCTTCACGCCTTGGGCCGACTCCCATATCCATTAAGGGTGGAGCGATCTACTGCGATTTGAACACGTGATCTCCAACTTAAAGAATTTGTGGCATTTCTCTAAACAGCACACTTTACGTTACATCACATTTAAACAATTGGCGGTACTTCTCTGATCATGTCGCGAACATGTGGGTCTCTGCAACTACCAGCCTGGGCACGGTCAATGCTAAGCGCAGGTTCCAAGTTGGTCAGGTCTACTGGTGTGAAATCGGGGAGGAATAACCATTATGTTCGTTGTTCTAGTAGCGGGGTTGTCGTTGGTTAGCGTAGACGGACTGACCCCGCGGTACACACACGCCTAGGCAGTTTGGCAGCATTATCGACCATCATTGGCCCGTTACTTCCAGGCTATTTAGCCTGTCTTGCAGTGGGTGCATATCAACAACTGTGTGTCAGAGATAGGGGAAGGTAAGCGAGTTGTAGTTTTTGTGGAGATTCGTCGCAGTTAGACACAGAGAGACAGCCACCACACATCCAGGAAAGCGCTGGATGTGTGGTGGCTGTCTGTCTGTGTCTAACTGCGACGAATCTCCACACAAACCTACCAAAGCCCCCTTCCTACTTATAAGTAATCAGGAGTTGTGGTTTCCTTAGGAATGGTCCTGTGGGAGTGATTGCACGATTGACGAATACGCGAAAATTACTTTACGCAATTCAATTGAGCAGCCATGCGAGTCGTTAAAAAACACATTTACACAAGTGAATGTGAGCACAGGGCGTGCTAAGACAGCTCGGGTTGCAGGAGTCAAGGTTCGTAGGTAACAGTTCTCTAAAATAATGGTCACTGAATACTGGAAGTTAATCCGATTCGAATGTGTGTATGATGACTGCTCATCTCTAAGGCTCAGTTTGCTTTTGCTAGCCTCCGCCATCTCTGGCTTCCACGAGACATTTGACTTCTGAACAGCCGATTCTACAATGCCGCGATGAGAGCGGTCCTGCTTAAAGGTTACGAGATAGGCTGCTCTTATAAATGACGTTCAGATGCTATTTTTTCATCACTGCTGGTTGCTGAGTACTGTCGGTGTTCCACGGCAACACCTTATTATCAATGAAGATTGCCGTCAAAGGATTTTTAAGCGTGACAGACTTTGACGGCCGATCAGCTGCATAATTTCGCTGCACAGGCTTAGATGGACTGAACACTTGCTTAGCATATCTCATGAGCGTTTACCTCTCTGTGCACTATCCACACACGCAGAAGCTGGTTTGGAAGCAAAAGCCAGGTGCCTATCTAATGTCTTTGGCAAGAGGTATGAAGGAGCTTGCCTCAAGCTTGGCGGCAGTAGGGCGCTCTCAAACCCCTTGGTTGGCAGCGCAAGGATCACGAGCACCTACGGCTGGCAACGTTTATGGACATCGCAAGAACCCCAGCACCGTGGCGAACCTGTGTGACTCCACTTCCTATCTCTCTTTTCACTATCGTTGTACTGTTTTATCTAAATGTTGTGGCAGTCTGCCAACTGTACTCTTGGTCAAGTGTCTAATATATATATATTTATGTGTACATATATATATATGTATATGTATATATATAAGTATATGCGCGAAGATGAGGTGGGTCAAATCCTCGGCAGAGAGGAGGGCGCAAGCTACGCCACTGTTTCATAGTAACAAAACACTGCAGCCTGATTGCGGTGTTCAAGAACAAGGAATAATTAACGTTTCTATAGAGCAGATGAACCAATAAATATTGTAGCAAACGCAGAAATCTGCCTACTACCGGGTGGAGATCGGTCAAACACACAGACTCGTCATTTTGGGCATATAGTTGTGTCATCAGGGAAAGAGAAAGTGACATCTCATAAATCGGGATGACTATACAAAAGTAGCTGTTTATGTGAATGTTCTTCTAGACGCCATGCGTTCATTGTCATGTACTTTTGTAAATATTATGTAATTTTGTGCGTTAAACATAGCATAAATAATGACCCTTATTTTTCAGGGAACAGGTCTATCTTTCATTCATAGGTATCTGTGAATATCGGTTGGACGGTATGGCTTCTAGAGGGCATAAACGTGATATCACCATAACACACAAGTGCATTGTGTTTGTACGGAATTATTTATGAATTAGTGTTTACTAAGCTGAAGCCTAACAATCTTTGTTTTATAGGCTGGTCAAACAGCTTTCATCGCGGCTCCCCTAATTAGCATCTGCTAAAGTTGCTACATGCAGACAAATGCATGCTTTTTGGTCAGCTGTTATTTACTACTCATATCCAAGTTGGTCAAGCAGGCCGTTTGACCTCTGGTTACTTTGTGTGCCGAGACGTGAACGCAAAGCAAGTGTTGCAACCGAATAGCCAACTGTTTAATGGGGTGTAAAGTTAATTGATCCAACCATAGAGACAAACACTTTTACTTAGACGATAACACAATAATTTAAGGCAACTAAGCGGGATTACAGCGCTAACGGCACTGTTCCTTGGTACCATACTCTGCATACTGGGAGAAAGCATAGACTAGATGCATTTGGAGTCTTCACAACTGTACTCTAAATAGCAACATTCCTTTGGAGTCTACTCATCAACCGGAGAAGAAAATAGCAACATATAACTCACTGTCGTAGGTTTCTGGTTGCGACAGCCATCAGTGGAGTGAAGTCGTTTTGATCAGCAATCTCAAGATTTACTTGCCTAAATAAAATGTAGTAAGTAATTCTTTTGTTAGTTTCATCCAGTAATATTAGTGAGCACAAATACATCAAATCATTTGGGATAACTTGCGCTCATGGCTGAGCATGCTGTATCCGCAGAATCGGCTGTAAACAGTTGCTATTTGCCACCGTCTAAACTGGAGCACAAAATGGGCTTCAATGACATTTAGTCGGACACCAATAATAACGGTATTAGAAAGTTTCTGGATCCATTCGTGTGTAGTTCGAAGTAGTAAGGTCCAAGAATAACATCAGTAATGGCCGTCACCTAATCCTGATGTTGCCTTATAGTAATCATAAGAACTTGGCTATACTTACCAGTTCATTGTCTCTTCCTTCGTCCGAAACTACTTTATTGTACACAAGAGACTAAGTGCAATTTCCGGTTATCCGATCGTGTTAAGATTAATTCTCATGCCAGAACACATTAAATAGGTATGCCAATTCGTGCGCAATTCCTGGGATAGCTAAGAAATCGTTTAGTTGATAACTTTGAAACTTCTGTCACCGCCGTATCGCCTTACGTTCTAAATGACGCACAGAAAAGTTGTCAAGAGCAAAGAGCAATTAGCAGAGCTGTTCGAACCATAGTTAAATGTTCGAACCGACTAAACACATATTTCTCAGCTAGTGTTGTGAGTAGTCATGGGTAGTAATACGCATATGCCTCCAACTCGAACTGGGCTGTGAAATGGTCAACAAACTTTTGTTATGGGCAACCTCGTAGCCATCTGGCGACTTGTGCAGCTGCTCGTGATTACCTGCCATCTATCGTGTGGTAGCACTGAATTTATGCTGCTTTCTTTCTGTGCTTATTACCCACAAGTATCGACGCCCATTACTGGACTTACACTTATCCAACTCGCATTTATCAGCTCTATCAAGTGCAAAGTATCATTGCACCCCAGTTGTCTCCTTTATGGCCCCAGAAGGGAACTGACTACTAGTAGGTTTGCCGGAGCCGTAAGCCATCGAGCGTGCCCCCAGTTTGCGGATGGGGGAACGCCTTCCTCGCAAAGGTAACTATGAATAAGTCTCTGCTGTTCGAGGTCGAGATGAATAGGTAGTCACGGACAAGCAGTGGCAGCGTCCTAGAGCGTGGGGTTTTTGGGCTGGTCTCCAGGTTCCACATTAAACACCACAAAGCTAGTGAGATGCTGCGTCAAAACACACTTCACCGGCTGTACGGTCACTGATCACTCACTCCTGAGACCAGAAGTGAGTACTCAACGGAGAGCAGATGAATAACCTCGATGGTAACCGCTAGTGTGAAGACGTGTGAGCCACCTGGCTGTCAACGAACTTCGTGCTTCTGTACGAGTTCAGAGGTCAAGGAAATTACTCCTGGTCTCCGCGTTGCTTCATTCTGGCTTCTTGGGCGCCCTGTGTAGTTTATTCCTACTCGAAAGCCGTGTTATCATTATCGTGGCAGCTGGTTCTAACGGCGTGATATATACGACAATCTCACCGCTGCTTTGCGGGTGAGGTCTTTAGACCAGACTCTGGATGAGGTCCACCAGGTCAACCCTCTTCCTTGGCCAAGGCAACTGGGGATCTAGATGCCCACACAAATCATGGACCAATGCATCAACGACTTTCTGTTGTCTCTCTGTTCCGTGTCAATGTTTCCCTCTGTTGTGGTACTGACGGCCGAACACGCTATAGCACGCTTTGCCGCACAACAGTTCGGTTACTTTATTCCATGTTTGTTCACCTCCCCATCCTTGGTAATCCTCTCTGTTTCCGTGTCCCCAGTGCCGTGTCGTCTTGGACGAGTTTCCTCACCATACGTATCAGGAACTTAGGTCCGTTGGGTGCGCCGTCAAGTAGTACTGCCATGCTTTCTCTAGCGACCTGTTACATACTCAAGCTGACAACCACTAACGTCCAGACGCTGATGTAGATCGGATAACAAGTAGCCATCTTTTGCACGCCTGAGACTAGTGCTATTAATGCCGGCCTTCTCAATGCAACCTGATTACTGGACCCTAGAACCACGCTAAGAATAATTTTGTCGTCTGCGAGGTCCGCTAGCACCTTTACTTTGTCCTTATCTACAGATGCATCCGCGGAAGGCGCTGGTCTTGCCAGCGTTTGGACTGCGTTGAGCCCACGTGCTGAGGCCGCGCTACTTGACTGGATCCTTGTCAACAGTCGACTCTGCGCTATCTGACTTGAGAGCTCAGCGGGACTTCAAACTCGCGGGACTAGCGGATGCTGCAGGTTTGTTGTTGCAGCGTACACTCCTCCAAACTTCACCGCAGAATCAGTTAAAGACGAGTCCTACTGTCAACTGTCCGACCTTCTCCGAAAAACCTCGCTACAGATGTCATGGTACTTGAAGGGGACTTAAACGCGCGGGTAGGTAGACTTGAGGTTGAAGAGCGTGAACTAGTAATTATCTTGGACATGGCACTTACAGAAAAGATAACGATGATCGCCTACTACAGCTCTGCACAGAGCACCTTTTCTTCCTGTAAAGTACTAGTACTAGCTTTCGGCGATCCTGGCGCCAACGTGCGACCTGGAGGCTTCCGCCTCCTGGCCAGCCATGGACGCAGATTGACCACATCGCCAGCGGTTATCCCTGTTGGGGATGCATACAGGATTGTATATCAATGTGGAATACTTATCGCACTCGTGTGTGCCAAGTTCGCTTTAGGTTCTTATGTCCATCAACAGCTTTAGTGGAAACGGCTTGAGGTGGTTAAGCTTTTTGCCTCATGCATTATAAACACCTTTAAAATGCATTGGTCTTAAATATCAATAGCGCCTCCTACTCAGTTTTTGAAACGCACTGGGCACACTACAGCAGCACCATGTACAATTCTGGGACCCTGGTCCCTTGCTTCACCAGTAGTCCTGTCAACCACTGAATCTCAGCACAATCCCCCCAAATTCCAGAACTTCGTCTGGCAATTCCAGCTGGCGCATAGTATCATGCACTTAGCAGGGTTACTAACGCTAAACTCAAACAGCTCCTTCGGAAGGATCGCAAAGTCTGGTGAACGCAACGCGTCATTAAGATAGAGCAGGCCGCCAGCTCAGGGAATTTCATAAAGCTCTTCTCCCTGATCCGATCCACTGGCGGTAGAAAGCCAACTGTAAGCGAAGTTTTGAGCTAAACTGATGGCGCTCCAATCCACTGTCGAAATTGCTGACTTAAGTGTTGGGTTGAGCATTTTGCGCAGCAGTTTAACTGGCCAGCAGCGGTGTGTTCCCAATCAGGAACCTGTAGTTATCTCTGGTTTTCAGATGCTTCACCACCATCTATGGCTGAGACTGCTCATGAGCTTCGCCGCCGAAATCGCTACAACTCCTCCGGCACAGACAAACTCACTCCGGCTCTTTTTAACGATGGAGGTCCATCACTTGTTGGGGGTTAACTTTTCACCTCCAAGAGATTTGAAGCACCAAAGCAATCCCGTCTGGTTGAAGTCCAGAGGACATCGTACCTATCTTCAAAATGGGAGCCCATCAGACTGCGTCAACCATAGAGGGAGTAGTGAACAATGAACGATGAATGAACAATGATTTTATACAGGTTAAGAAGGTTGCTTTACAAGCCCCGCTGAGTGGTCTGATGGGTAAGCGAGAAAGGTTAATGAAAAAGCAGTTAGTAGTTTTACTGTCATAATAATGGAAGTTTCGTTTTTGTTGCGGTAGCCTTGCACTCCGAGTGTTACTATAGTTTCAGTAGGCGAAAAAAGTAAATTCAAGGTATTTCCCGGGAGTAAGATGCAGAGTAGCGTCAAACAACAAAATGTACGTGGTAGAATGCCTCGTCCAACTGCCTAATAAATATGGACAGCGTGGGTGCTGAAACAACAGATTCGTGGAGAATGTTCCATGGTTAACACACACAAATGGAAAAAAGCTTCTACGGCACATCAGATAGGTGTATTGTTCGGCTAATTTCTAAGTTTGGTGTTACTGTTGAGTTTCAGTAAAGAGCGGCACCCATGATATGGATTGTGCAAAATCAAGCACGCCATAATCAAGTGGCCTCGTAGTCGGCGATATCGCCGCCCGGCTTTTTAGGAGGCTCAGCTTGGTACGCGAACAAAAGGTACGCGAAGAAGCAGTTGTGCTCCGCTCCTGCCGGAGTTGTATCGATCACCTTTGCCCTCCACCAAGTACTCGAGCATCGTCAAACGTTCGGCCTGGCAACGATTGTTGTCTTGTTAGATATCCGAGCTGAGTCTGACTCAGTAGACTTAGCTGTTTTCTGGAGCTGCCTTTTGAGAGGGAGGTTCCTGAGAAATATGTTAAGATTCTTCGGGCTATCTACTCCCAAACCTCGGGCGGAGTGAGGGTGTACTGCGAACATCGCCCCTTTACTGTCTCAAGTGTCATAATACATGTTTGTCTGGCTTCACCCTTCCTGTTCAATTCCACCATGGACGAAATCCTAGAGAGTGCTCTAGTGCACTGCGGACCCAGCGTCGTCGAGACGTTTCCAGCGGAACGACTTCGTGATTTGGAGTATGCAGACGACAGTGTCGTAATTAGCGATTCTTCACATGTTACCCAACATGTACTGTGCAGGTTGACAGTGTCTGTCGCTCAGTTTGGTATGACCCCCGCCCTTTCGAATTGCAAGGTCTTCGTACAGAACTGGCTAAGATTTGCACCTATCCTTGCCCTTTAAGGTCATTCTCTGAAAGTGGTAGGCAAGTCCAGTTACCTCGGAACCTGCATCAGCGCCAACGGTTTAACGGGTCTGGTCTATTTGTGCGTCTTTAAGGCTCGGATTGCGTTTGACAAACTTCGCTAACTCTGCCGTCGACGCGATATGAGTCCATCCTTGAAGGACCAAGTCTACAATGTCACGGTGACAGCGGTTCTGTTCTACGGTTGTGAGACGGCCTGTTCGTGCAAAGGACGTTCAGATGCTACCTGCCTTTGAGCATCGCTGCCTTCGGAACATTGCTACTGATAGGTGCAACGTTACTTTAGAAATGAAGATATTGGCCAGAGG